GAGGGGGATCCTTGGATCCTTCCAGATGCCTCTGAGGCCGACTTGCATAAGGCGGCAGAGCAGATGTTCAGGAGGGTGGGTTGCAGAGCCGGCACTCAGCTCTACTGTCCCCCGACTGTGCGGGCTGTGACGGGTTCCTTACTCTCTGCCTCAGCTTCCTCAATCGTAACATAGGAACAGTAACACTACCCGCGTCATAAAGATGGCTGTGCTCATTCAAGGAGCCCGTAGCCATCGCGGAAACGTGGGAAGCGCTGCGCCCATGGCGCCTGTTGTGGCCCCTGCAGACAAAAGAGTAAGGTGTCGGGTGTTGCCAGCGGAGACCGCGAGACGGGTCCTCCCACTGTGAATGCCTTGAATGCTCCACTTTCCACAGGGGCTCAGGCCCGTTTCGCCGCTTTGACCCTGGGCTGGCCTTGTGACTTTCTTTGGCCAATAGAATGTGGTCAAAATGACACCAGGTGCCGCTGACAATTGGCCTCAAGTGGCCTTGCAGCTTCTGCTCTGGGAAGCCCCTGCCACCACGTCCAGGAGCTCCGTCCAGCCCCCTGGGGGGCAAAGGGGAGCCGAGGCAGCCGGCTGAGAGCCGCGTGCACTGCCAGACCGAGGGCTGAGGCGCCTTGGGTCACCCAGCTCCGGGGCGGCCCCGGACGTCCGCAGCTGCGTGGGTAATCCCCGCCCAGAGCAGGAGGAAGCTGATCCCTATGGCTGATCCATGAAATCAGGAGCAAACACATGGCCATTTTTTGAAGCCTCCAGATTTTGGGAGGCGTGGAAGGCAGCTTCACAGGCAGCCGCAGCACTTCCCGCAGGGCCTCCGCAGAGGGCTCCTGCTTGGCTCTTTGTCTACCCTTTGCTCACAAATGTGGAAGCTGTTATTTCTGACATCACTTCTGCTCGGATCCCAGACGCCCGGCCTGGTCGCTGACGAAATATTGGCTTGGCCAAAAAGTTTATTTGGTTTTTTTCCGTAAGATGGCTCTAGTAGCGCTTAGTTGTCTTTAATATCATCCAAAACAATTTTGTTAGATTGTATTGTGACAGCCGTCATATCAGCATGCTTTAAAAAAAAAAAAAAAAAGCTTGTCAAAACTGGTGATTTTCCGTATAGCCATTTTAATATTGAAATGGAAGAAAATAAGCAACATTTTTGGCATATTATGCTTTATTATTTTAAGGAAGGTAAAAATGCAACTGAAACACACAAAAAAGATTTTTTTTTTTTTGTCGGGAGAAGGCACCGTGATGAACTGAATGTGTCAAAAGTGGTTTGCAAAGTTTCATGCTGGAGATTTCTTGCTGGACAATGTTCCACGGTCGGGTAGACCAGTTGGAGTTGATAGTGATCAAATTGAGACATTACTTGAGAACCAACGTTAAACCACACAGGAAATAGCCGACATACTCAAAATATCCAAATCAATATGGTTATTGGTGAAAATGAAAAATGTGTTTTCTATTTTACAGAAAAAGCTAAAGGGACTTTTTTACCAACCTAATACAGAGCCCTAAGCAGGCCAGCAAGATTGGCTTCTTTAGAGGATTGCACAGCCAGAGGGAGGAAGATTGAGCTGACACCCAAAGTGTCGCCCACTGACCCAGAAAGAGGGAAGGACCAGATGGGAAGAGTAACCAAGCAGCAGTAAGAGTCCTTTTAAGAAGATCCTATCAGAACATTCAAAAAATGTTCTGGGACAAAACAAAAAACAATAAACAGACAAATTTTAAAAACCCGTGATTTTTACGTTAAAAAATTTTATTAGATAACCTGAAAAAAGAGGATAGTCTTTGCTGATATCCAAGTAATGGGTACACAGGGCAACAAAGAAAAGTTAAAAAGATGTAAACTACAAAACAAACGAGACTTGGAAGCTAGACCTCTAGGAGAAGACAGAGAAGATGTACAGTGATTGGTAAGTGATAGAGATGGCGCCGATATGACACAAAGGGAGCCGGGTCTGCAGCTTAGCGGGGACTCACAGACCCCCGGCGGGGCTATCTCTGAGAAGATGGGCATCTAGACCTTTCCCCACGAACCTCCGGAGCCCAGGGACAGTGAAGCTTTCCACAGCAGCCAACTTCAAAGACGCAGGAATTAGCCTAACACCGGTCTTGGCCTAGTCCCTCCCCATTGCCGGAGGCTTGAAGACAGCAGGCAGGGCAAGGAGGCTCCTGGGAGTTGAGCTGTGTGGGTGTTTATACATTCATCAACTCCCCCAGCGACAGATGACACGTGTCTCCACACCCAGCCGAGCTCCCGTTGTCTAAAAGGTGTCCATCGAAGTCAGAAAGCTGCCTGTTCCCTCACCCGAACCTCCGTTGCCCAGCCCCTCTCTCCGGGACTCACGTCCTATTACCTGGATGTGTTTTTTAAACTCTTCTTTTGCCCCTAACGCTGGGGTACCGATAATTGCTGCAGTTTTGCGACACCCCCAAAATGACAAGCAACGTGAGAGCCACACGTTGACGCAGCTGGTGGGGAGGAATTCTCCGCGCGGGGCGCGGCTTGGCTTTCGGAGGCCGCGGCGCCGGGGCCTGCTTGTTTTCCCAGCACTCCGGCCAGCGCAGCTCGCCGTGGGAACTCCGGTCGCGCGACGTCCTGGGTGTGCTATTCGCTTCCGGATCCTGCGGGCGCTAGTGCGTGTGCGCATGCGCGTGCGCGTGTGCGTGCAGGGGTCAGGGCAAGGTCTCTGTTGCCACGTTCCCTGCTCCTGTGTGTGCCTGCCGAGAACGTGGTGGTCCGGGGCGTTCCTTGTTTTTGTATAAACTGATGTGCAAACAATTTGGGGGACAAGGTGTATCAGTCCCCAGGCTTGGTACGATATGCGTCTCTCCTGGGGACACAGGTGCTCGGCTGTCACCTTTCCTTCGCGGGCCGACGAGCCCGTCGCCCGAGGACGGCTTTGAGGGCGGCCCCGGCCGCCGCCAGTCTCCAGAGGCAACTCCAGGCCTTCCGCCACCGGCCCAGACCGGCTTGCGCCCTGCGTGTCCACCTTCCTCATTTGTGCCATGCCCTGCACACCCAGGGACCGCAGTGTACCCTGTCACCCACTCTTGTTTCCATCAACTTCGAAAATGCCAGAAAGCTTCCTCACTACAGAAAGAGCAAAACCGAAAACTGCCGACCCAGAAGTGCGGGCAGAGCAGAGGTGGACCAGCAGGAAGCCGTGGGAGGCGTCAGAGCCGAGCCTCTTTGAGGGGGTTGGCGCTGTTCATGTTTTGTGCTATTTTTCCATTGGGTTTTTGGTCTTATTTCCTTCCATGTTGAGTTGTTTATATATTAGAGATGTTAATTCTTAATCTATGATAGATGTGGCAAATATTTTTTTTCTCCAGTTTTTAAAAATTTGGCTTTGGCCCTACGATGATTTTTCTTTTTTGGTCAAACAACATTTTATCATTTTTAGTTAGTCAAATTTATCAATTTTTTTTACTGCCTTTGAGTCATATTTTAAAAACCGTTCCCTACCCCCAGCCTATGAAGTGTTCACCCGTAAGGTCTTAGTATGCATGTCATTTCATTTTCTTTCACGTAGACCTCGGAACCGTCTGGAGTTCATTCTTGTGTGTGGTGCAGGTTGTAGACCGAGTTTGATCTCTTTCCAAATGGCCATATGGTGGTCTGAGCACCATTAGTCACAAAGTCTGTTCTGACCCAGTGATTTCTGTATGTACCTGGGTGGATCTCTGGACTTTCTATTTCATTCTTCTGGTCATCTGACTACGGAAAGACAAATCTACCCAATTTATTCTCGGCAGAGGACCTCCAAACCCACCTCCTCAAATTTAAACTCAGGATACTCAGACATAAAGGCTGGGCCTCGTTTATCTGGCTCCAAAGCGGAATAAACTGTTGAGTTTACTCACTCTGAAGGTATCAGTCAAAAGAATTAGATAAGCAGCAGTTAGAGGCATAAGAATTAGAACTCTGCATGCAGATGATATGACAGTATATGACAAAATCTACTACATATTATTGACATAACCAGGAAGCAGGATATGGAATTCACATAGAGAAATCCGTACCCTTCATATATAATATAGAGAAAACCCATCTGCAGTAGCGACAAAGAGGATAAAATACTTATCAATAAATTTACCAAACATGTTCAAAACCTGTGTGCGGGAAGCATTAAAACATTCCCGAAAGGCACAAAAGTAGATTTGGACAAATGCAGAGTTGTTGGAAAAGATGACTCAGTGTGATCAATTTGTCGATTGTCCCCCAGAACATTTATACATTTAATGCAGTTTGAATACATACCAAAACATTTTTCTAGGTCCTAAATGGATACTAAAATTCATATGACAGAATAAATATGTAAAAGGAGCAAGGGAAACGGAAGAAGCTGGGCACCCAGGAGAATGGGGTACCAAGATGCCAATGCCGCCACCTGCCGCCTTAGGCTGGTACTGCACCCTCATTGAACGACACAAATCCTGATCCTCTCAGTATTGATTAGCTTTTGGACCCTGACCGTTGTCTGAAAGGAAGCTTGCTGCTGCTGCTGCTGCTGCCGCCGCTGCTTTTGTTTGCCTTTCACTCCCTCACTAAGGGCCCATATTCTGTTTAGCATCTTTAGAGTTCTGGGCGTCAGAAACCAAACCCTGGAGACAGAGCTCAAAGCAGTAAGACACACTGAAATATCTCTGGTTTAGCCCCGATCCTTATCGTGGGGTTTGATTGATGGGAGACTAGAAGAATAAAAGAGGAAGGAAAACTAGCTCCTTGTTGCATCCGATGTTTGAGACACAGGATTTTTTTTTTAATCCGTGTGAAATGGATACCCTAAAAATCATGTTACAGACTAGAACACAGTAGCCTAAGAAAATGTAAAGGGATGTTTTTTAAAGGGTAAAATTGTGACTCATACACATACAAAATGAATACAGGTCATAGATTTTATTTAACTCATTGATGCACGAAGGAACGAGTGAGATGTCAAAACTGGTCCCCAGGAGGACACAGAGGACAGACACACAGACTAGAGACAGTCAGGGACGTCAACAGGAGCTTGCTCAGCAATGAGGAACGGGTCGCTGTCCACGGGGGGATCATCCCCTGTGCCTTCCCTGTGCAGCATTTGTGTACATCTCCGTGGGCGAGGACTTTTATTACCCTCAGTTTTCTGCCACCCAGGGAGTTGTCAAACAGCCCAAAGACAAGGAGTGGTGCAGACTGTTTTAGAATCAGGTAACTCCTGGAAGGGTCCTCGAGGCCAGCAATTTTCAACCTTTCTCATCTCACGGTGCACGTAAACTAATTAACATTCTGTGGGACACCAAAAGATATATTACATTTTTTGCCAATCTGACAAAAGAAAAATAGGTATAATTTTGATTCTTTCACACCAGATGGCTATTGGCTCATGTCATTAAATTTTTTTAAAAATTCATTTCTAGGTCCTATTTATTTATTTTTTAGGGAGAAGGGAAGGGAGGGAGAGAAATAGTGATAGACTGCCTCTCTCACATACCCCAGCCGGGGACCTGGCCCACAAACCTAGGCACGTGCCCTGAGTGGGCATTGAACCAGCAACCTTTCGCTTTGCAGAACTACGTTCAACCAGCTGAGCCGTGCCAGTCAGGGCCACTCTTGTCATTTTTTAAATTTGACAGTCTAAAGAAGAAGGGGTCAGTGCCCCTGACTAAACAGTCAGGTGTTCCACGTTTTAAAAATCCTTGCGGTGCACCGGTTGAAAACTGCTGCTCTGGACAACACAGAGTGAAATGCACAACCACCTTCAAGGTTTCACAGCTGCTGAGTGTAAGACCTGAATTCAAACCCAAACCTATGGTTCCCTAAATTCAGCCTCTTTCCTCTGTGTCAAGTGGCTTTCGGATAGTGACGGGTGATTCCAGCAGAGATTTGTGCTGACCGCTCATCACCCCATTTCGTTAAAAACCCCTTGGTCTCAAGAAGGGAGCCCTTCTTCCCCATCCTGGCAACAGAAACGTCGGCAACGTCCCGAGGTCTCCAAGCCACTCAAGGGCGACCCTCTGTACCAACATCCTCAGAGGCCTGGAGAGGCGGGGAGCCTGGTTGGGGCCTTGGAAGGGCCCCAGTCCGATTTTTGGTTGGAAGTGATGGGGCGCTGGTACAGTCTGATGATGCCTTCATCGTGTAGCCGCTTCCAGAGCATTCTCTCTAAGTTGAAGTCATGGTTGATGTAAAAGACTGTCTTTTTCCACGATGTGTCATAGTAGTGATCCGAAAAGCGCTCGTGGCCCTCGGTGATGAAGCCGTAGGCACTCACCTGTGTAAGGGGAGGGGGAGGAATAGGGCCTGCCTTGCTCCCTCCCAGGCCCCCTCTCAGGGGCTCGCTGTGTGTGGTGGGGCGGGTCCTTCACCCGGGTTCCGCCCCTCGAGGTCTGGGTGCATGCCCCTGGGTGCACCCGCGCCCACTCCAGCCCAGCCGCCACCCCGCACTGAGCCGGCTGGGCTGGGAGGGAGGCGGGGAACACCTCAGAGCGGTTCCCCAGGCCCTCCTGCTTTGGGAGCAGGCCTCACCTTGTCACAGAGCTGAAGGGCGGTGAGCAGCAGGAGGGCCCCCGTGGTGGGGCGGTATAGTCTCCAGTGAACAGTGTCCAGGGTCTTAGACCTCAAAAACCTGTAAAATGCACCCCCCACACTGTCAGAGGCTGCCAGGACGAGAGGGCCCGGCCCACCCCTTCCTCTGCTCTCACCTGTTCTTCATGTAGCGGATCGCGTCTGGGTGCAGCAGCAGGTACTGATCCAATCGCATTGTGTCCCGGAAAGCTTCCTGGGGCCTGCTCCTGCGGGCGGGCGGCTCTTTCAGGCTCAGTTCCCCGCCTCATCTGGTGGGGGCCTGTCCCACCCTTCTAGCTGCTGGCTGCACAGCCCAGCCTGGGGGGAGGGGAGGGCCTGTTGGTACCTGTACCAGAAAAGGCTCTTTTTCACGAAGGTCTGGTTCAGGAGCAGAGTTTCCAGCCAGTCGTAGTCCCGGGTGCCTTCCAGGAAGTGCAGGTAGTGGATGTCCTGGCGACCAAGGTCAGCAAGTGGCCCAGGAGCACCGCCTGCGGGACCGCGGGCTGGGAGGCCCGGCTCTGACCTAGGTCTGCCCAGGCCTGGTCTGGCATTGCCTGCTGCCGCGCTCCCCACCCCCCCACCCCCCCACCGGCCACCTCGTCCCTGCCCTATAGGAGCCTGCACCGGCCCCTTCTCCCGAGCCTGTGCGGCCAGGCCCATTCCTCTTTGCTCACCTTCCCCAGCGGCACGTGCGGGAAACCCCGACGGCCCAGCGCATAAAGTGACTGAGTCAGGGAGAAGGCCGTGAAGCCGTAGAAAGATGTCCGGGTACCCACGTCCTGTTCGTAGCCCTTAATGACAGCGCCGCTCAATCTGTGCAGAAAGACACGGATCAGACAGGACACAGGAGGCAGGAGGCAGGAGGGAGCTGTGTGGAGGCGGGCAGCAAGAGGAAGGGGAAACGGGGAGGCAGCGGTCATAAGCGGAGAGTCCTGGGTGGCCCGGGAATTGTGCCTTCCAGATGCAGGCATGGAACACCTATCAGCTTGCGGAAGAGCCTGTCTCTGCAGGAAAGGTGTGGCGGGGGGCGGGGCGTGTCGCCGGTGGGGGTGGCTCACCGGAACACGTAGTCATGGCTGTCTATCTCGTGGCCCACGTGGGAGTTGTTCAGGATGCCCCCGTTGCCCACCACGGCACAGGTGATACACTGGGTGCTCCCAGCAGGGAGGCGGGCCAGGAGCAGCTGCTGCTGGGCCACTGGGGGGAAGCGCGTCACCACCTTCTGCACCACTGGAACAAGGGGGACCTCCGTTCAGAGTGGGGGAGGGCCAGGGGTCTGGTCCGTCATCTTTCCCAGGGCGCGTGGCTCTCCCCCGCCCCGGGGAAGAGGCAGACCCAAGGCCCAGAGCCACAGCCGAGCGTACAGCCAGGCTCCCGGGGCCGGGACTCACAGGAGTAATTGAGCTCCATGAAGCCGAAGGGGGGCACGAAGTGCTCCAGGCGGTCCCACTCGCTGCGGTTGAAGCGTCTGGAGTCCAGGAAGAGGGTGAGGTTGGGCAGGAAGAGGTTCTGGAGCCAGCGCGACTTGGAAGCTCTCACCTTCACAGAGTCCGGGCAGGTCTACATGTAGAAGCGCAGGTCAGGCAGGGCGCGGCCGGGAGGGCCGTGGCCGTGGCGGGGGGCGGGGGGGGGGTGCCTGGCCGGCGGCTGGGCTGGGTGGCAGGGGCCGACAGCTGGCCTCGGAGTGAGGACGGAGGTTGTCCACCCCCTTTGGCAGGACTGCCGTGGTCCGGAGGCTGCTCTTGGCCCTCAAGGTAAGGGCAGCCTTGTCCGTGCGAGAGAGACGCAACAGCCAAGGACATGGCGTGCGTTCCTGTGTTCTGCCGTGCGCGTGGTTGCAACTATATGTGATCAGATATATTTTCAACGTCGTCCCCTATGGGTGTTTTTCTCAGGGGTGGGAGAGAGGGGAGGGGGTGGAGTTTCCTATGCAGAGGACAAGGTGTTCCCAGGTGGTACTAGCGCTGGGCCCTGGGTCGGGTATTCTTGTCTGCTGTTCCCTGCCCCCTTGCCCCCTTCCCTCCCACAGGTGCCCAACCCCAGAACAGGCTGCACTCTGCCACCCCGAGGGATGGCCCTCCAGGCCTCCCGGGGGCTCCTCACTCACACCTTTCCAAGTGGCCCGGCAGGGACTCGGGGGCCTGCCTTCTCCTCCCTCACTTAGGCCATTAGGGGAAGGAAGGGTGGGGGGAGCCTGGGAGATGAGGGAGAGGGCGGGGTGGGCTGAATGCCAGGAGGCGCTTCAGAGCAGCGTGGCTTCGAGCGGGCGTCGGCAAACCTCACCGTCTGCAGGCTCCCCGCGTCGAGGCTATAGTTTTCCTCCAAATCCCACTTGGGCTCAGACTTGAAGTTGGCGGCCCGCAGCCAGGGACCTGTCTGAGCGGTGGGGCCCCGGGAAGGGACTGAGCTCGGGGGAGCTGGGGCTCGCTGCTTGGGCGGGGCTGCTGCCGTGGTCACTCCTTCTGTGGTTTTCCTCGGGGACAGTCCTGGTCCCCCGGCGGTGAGCGCCTCCGCCTGACGTCCCAGCACGGTTGTCCTTGCTGTGGGTGCCCGAGGCTTCGCTGGCGCTGTCCCTGCTGCCGTGGGCTTTTCGTTCTTGCCCCTCTCTCCTTTGGTTGTCCTCACGTCCTGCCTCTTCGACGACAGTGCCTCTGTCCCCTTGGGGGTCCTCCCCCTGGCCTGGCTTCTCTGGGATGGCGTGTCCGCCGTGGTGTCCGCTCTCTCCTGAGTCCTGAGTAGTGCCGTCCTTGCTGTGTGGGGCTCTCTGGCCTCGGGGTGGCCTGTGACCCGGGGACGTGCCGCCAGGGTGCTGTTCTCTGGTGCAGACCCTCCATGGGCAGGCGTCCTCCTGTCCACGGTGGGTGTGGGGGGCGGGGCCTCTTGGAGCAACTTGGAACACCTTTCTCTAATGTTCTCTCTATTCTGAGCCCTGGGGACAGAGATAACTTTTGATGAAGGATGAAGGTTATAGACACAGGGTAGAAATACAACTAGTATTTGTTCCCACGCTTTGGGTGGACTTCAGATAAGTGTCCACGGGGCTGCGTGGGGTGCTGGGAGCAGAGCTGAGGCGCTGCGGCTGCTCCAGGCACCGGTCTCCGTGCTGGCTTCTCCGCAGCTCCCAGCGGACGCGGGGTCCCAGATTGAGAATTCTAGAATGAGTTGGTGTGGCCCTGGTCTTGACACCTCATAGCTGCCTGGCTCAGTTGACATTTTTATTTTTATTTTTTAAAAGATTTTGTTTATTTACTCTTAGAGGGGAAGGGAGGGAGAAAGAGAGGGAGAGAAATATCCATGTGTGGTTGCCTCTTGTGTACGCCCAACTGGGGACCTGACCTGCAACCCAGGCGTGTGCCCTGAGTGGGAATTGAACTGGTAACCCTTTGGCTCGCAGACCAGCAGTCAATACACTGAGCCACACCAGCCAGGGCTTATTTTAAGATTTTATGTGCCCTGAGCGGGAAACCAGCGACGTTCGGCTTTGCAGGGGGATGCCCAACCCGCTGAGCCCCCTCAGTCCGGGCCCTGGGACGTGGAGTGACCAGGAAAAGGGAACAGCCTATAAGCCTTTGTTCTTCTTCTGTTTTTCATTTTTGGCTAAGTTAAAAAAAAAAAAAAAAGGGAAATTTATTATAAGGCTAGGTAGTGTCCTGAGGAGCCCAAGAGCAAGAAGTGGTCGAGCCTCTGGAAAGGCCCGGGGCCGGGTCTCCGGGCCTTGCTCTCTGCTCCGGCCTCTGCCTCCTTCTCTCTTCCCCTCCGCTCTCAGCCAGCCCGTAACACTCGTTCTGGGGGCTGCTGGCTCTCCATGCCCCCAATATGTAATTCTGCAGGGAGAGGCTCTCACCCGCTTGGGTCCTCTCTCCGTCCCTGGCCAGGGCTCTGGGTGACAGGGTGCGTGACATCCTGGGGCCCACCCCGTGCCTGGCAGGAGGGCAGTCTCAGGAGACGCTGGGGGTTATTTGTCAAGAGCCACAAGGCACCCTCGAAGTATTTATTCTGAAAGAACGCCGCCCAATGTGTGACGGACAGCCCGAGTTAGCGCGGAACATTCGTGATCGGCTTGTGCTGCCTTTGAAGAGCTGAGCCCGTGAGCTTGGGGCTGAGTCTCCCTGAACGACCTCTTAAGCTGATAATTGAGCAGCAGCTCCGAGGACGGCACAGAAGCCTAGGTGTTGACCCCACTTAGCGAACAGCCCTTGTTACCAGGCGGGGGCTCTCGGCAGAGGTGCCGCCATCTCCGCTTTCCAGCCCCAGACCTCAGGAGGTCGGTGGGAGGTGTCCTTTCTGGCTGCGAGCCCCTGATGCGGCTGTGGGTGGGGAGACAAGGTGGGTGCTCTTTTACATTCCACATGTCCCACGCGCAGCACGGACAGCTGGCCACCTGCCTGGCGGTGACGTGGGCCTTGGAGTGATACAGCACAAGACACCCCTCTGCAGGACCATGTTGGGGCAAGAGGACAGCGGCCCCTGGCGGGAGGGTTCAGCCTGCAAATGCTGCAAGTTCTCGAAGACTCCTTTACATTTTACAGGAAGTCTTAGCAATGACCTGGGTGGTGACAATTGTATCATTACATTTCATTTCAACTTTCTGTAATTAAACAGACCAGTGATTGCTAGGAACGTGGGCATTTACAGATTCTCACCTATTCTCAGGTGTGGTGTTTACTGAATATCCTAACTGCTCCTGTCTACATGTTGAGCGCCCTGCATTTGCTTTGGCCAGAACTTACGCACGCTGGGCCGGGCCAGGCCAGGGCAGAGGGTGGGGTGTGCAGGATCTTTTTTCTATTATGAGCCCCTAGTTCAAAGGGACAAGCAAATCAGTCACGGATCACATCCAAGCCAAAAGCTATTTCATTTCACCATCTATCTGGGAAGTAAAAATATAAAATGTTACACTTTGAAAAATAAAGGTATCCTTCAGCAGGGCTCGGTAGAGCTCTGGTCTGTAAGTGAAACAAATAACAGTGATTCTCTGTCACCCTCCTGGAGAAATTCCAAACCACACACCACCAGGGGCCTCTGGAAGCAAAGTCATGGCAGAAGGTGCAAAGTTCATTTACGCCTGAAACTGTGGAGCCACCGTTGGCGGGACCACAGTCCTCCCCCAGGGTGGTGGGTCCAAGAGCACGCCTGCCCGTGTCGCGCCTGCGCTGTGTGGGCCAGGACCCCGCCCAGTTACTGGAGACATGGAGACAGATAAGACGGCTGGAAAAAACCGACTTGGGGTCCACGGCACCGTGACAGCATGGTCGTGACCGACAGCGCTGGGAGGCCAGCCTGGGGTCACGGACTCTGGAGCTTGCGCCCACGCGGGTTTGAACTGAAGTGGCCGGGTGACCGTGGACAAGTCGCCTAACCTCTTTGATCTGCAAGAGGGGGTCGGCGATGAAACAGAGCCCACCTGAGGGGCTTGAGATGCGATCAGCAGCCTTGGCTGGGAGGAGAGCCCGGCCCACTGGGGGCGTCTCACCGTGTCCGTTAAGTCGGCCGTCGGTCAGCCTCCCGTTTCCAACCGCGTCCTGCCTCTTGCCATTTCGGCACCGCTGCGTCCACGCTCCCTTTGCCTGCCGTGTCCCCGCTTGCCCAAACGTCACCGTCCTCGGGCGCGGTGCCAATGCCACCTTCTCTGCGGCCTTCCTGCCCGGCCCCCCCGGCCCCCCAGTGGTTACTTGGCGTTACTGCTACTCTCACACGCAGTCGGGTTAGCCTTTCTGAGCCGCCGCCTCTTCATTTTTGTAAAAGACTAAACACCCTAATCTCGGGCAGCAATTGCGAAGATGTGAGACAACATGCAGAAAGCCCCTCGAGCCTAGGTTACCACCTGGAAATCTTCTGCAACTCTGAAATGGTCATGAAAGTGTGATACATGGCCCTGGCCGGCGTGGCTGCGTTGGCTGGGCATCATCCCGTACAGCAAAAGGTCGCTGGTTTGATTCTTCCCTGTCAGGGCACAGGCCTGGGTTGTGGGTTCGGTCCCTGGTCGGAGCACATATGAGAGCAACCAATCTATATTTCTCTCTCACAGTGATGTTTCTCCCCCTCTCTTTCTCCTTCCCCCCTCTCTCTAAATTAAAAAAAAGAAAGTGTCACAAAAGCGGCAACAGCACTTTGATAATGACTTTCACGGACCATGGGAAACAACTAGCGGGCTGATGGTTTACAGCTCCATCTTATTTCTGATTTTCCTCTCGCCTCTGCCTGGGCAGCTCCGTGGGAAGTGGTGTCCCCTGCAGGTGTCTCTGTCTCAAAACTCCTGTCACTTTTCCTCTCCCTCGGGACCTGTCCTGATCTCCCACGTGTTTCTCCTCCACGGTCACCATCTCAGGCCACGTCCCCTTCACCTTGTGCTTCGTGGCTGGAGTTGCCTCCGGGGGCACCTGCGGGCCTTGTCCCTCCCTTCACGTTGGGATGAGCTGCCTGGGGCGTCTGTCTGTCTCCCACCCTGGCTTGCTGCTCAGGCAGGCTGGTGACTCACGGCTGCTTCCGCTTCCAACCCAGCCGATCCCCTTCTCACAGGCTGTCGGCTCCGCCGTGGCCCTCGTGCCAGGCCCCCTCCCTGCCTAAGGGCCCTTTGTGGCCACCCTCCACCTTCCTAAATGCCCTCCCTCTGCTCTGCAGGGCGAGCCCTTCATTTCCGGGCGGCAGGTCCTCCCGGGCTCAGCCCAGAGGACTCATTTAGGTCGCCTCCTGGTTGATCCTGTGCTGGCCACGCGCCTTTCCCCACTGTCTCCCAGGTTCCTTCTTTTCTCTGAAGCTTTCTGTAGACACTGACTCTGCCCCCCTCCCCCCACCTCTCTCCCAGCGGGCATCCTCGCTCTATTTGGAATGTCTTCTGTAAACAGTACATGGAGAAGTCTCAGCCTGGGGCCCCGTTCCTGTCCCTTATTGTCTGGGCCAGTCATTAACCTTACAGCCACTTTTGATGATGAAAACTCCGTCTAAACACTGAAAAGATGGCCCCCAGCAGCCTCTCAGAGGACAGCTCCCCACGGTGACCTTGGCAGCCACCTCCCAGCCCTTGCCCCAAAGCTGCACAGCACAGCCTTTCCCTGTGCGGCTCTGGTGGCCGCTGCTCCTGGGCCGGAGCCCCCGTCTCTGGGACCTGCATGAGTTTAGCAGCAGCAGCGGTACAAGAAGGCAGAAGAAGCCCCCCAGGCCCCTGGGGTTGCCCCTGGCAACCGGTGCCCCTGCCCAGAGTCCCACCTTCTGAGCAGTCCCCACCCCTAAAAATTCCGCGGCAAAGACGGCACTTTCCTGTGTGTCTGAGTGATTGCTCTGTGTGTGTGTGTGTGTGTGTGTGTGTGTGTGTGTGTGTGGCAGTTTTTCCTTGGCTACCTACAAATAAATTGTAGGTGTGAGGCCAGGCAGGGGCATCTGACCTTTTGGCGTCTCTGGGCCCCACAGGAAGAAGAGTTGTCTTGGGTCACACATTAAATACACAAACGGTAACGAAACCGGAAAAAAAATCTCATAACGTTTTAGGCAAAGTTACGGTTTTGTGTTGGGCTGCATTCACGGCCCGCCGGGCCGCGGGTCAGCGCCTTGGATGGCTTTCTGCAGTTTCCCAGTTTGGGACGTCGGGGTGGGGGCCGCAGCACGGACTGACATTGAGCCTGCGTATGCTTTGCTGAGAACTAGAGACTAAACTGCTGAGGGTCCGCTGTCGGACTTTGCCCCGCGGAAGGGACGCTTGTTACAACTGGAGACTTTGTTTTGCTCACTCCTAGGGCCCCAGCATAGGCTTGGCTCAGAGTCGGGACTCCGTACATTTATTGTGAATAAATTCATCTGAATATATATGTATTTTAAAACCTCAGTGTAAACAAAATTACAAGAATATTCCTTCCCTCACCCCCAAATTCAGTCTAATACAGTCCATGTCTGGTTCAAAGCTCTTTTCCTATCCACTCCCCTGCCCTCCTCCGC